TTCTTAAACCACAAGAGTAGACATGCTTATTTTTGCTAAGGACCAACATTAACTCGGATTATTTGTATTCGCCTTATAGACAATAAATTGCGTCTTCTATACCTTCTATTATATCTATATCACATGGTTGTCAAGTTCTGGCATGATTAATAATATATGTTTTTTTATGGTCAGTAGTATGAGTTACTTAGCGAAAGATGTCTTCCAAAAACTAAGCAAAGAATCAGAAAAATATTCGTTAGAAACAAAGAAAAGAGTAATGCACTGTTATATAATATCAGTCTTCCTCTATGGATGTTGGACAATCTCCCCACAGATGAAGAGGAGACTTGAAGCAACAGAAACAAAAAAAAATGTAGTGAACTGTTATGTAATATCAGTCCTCCTATATGGCAGTGAATGCTGGACAATCTCTGCGCAAATGAAGAAGAGACTTGAAGAAACAGAAATGTGGTTCTACAGAAGGATACTGAGAATATCATGGACGAAGGTTTAGAGAAAATGGAAAAAAAGGGACACTTATACTTAACGTCTGGAAGAGACAATTAAAAGTTCTGGGGCATATAATGAGGAAAATGGTATTCGAAGATTTGCTACCTGCCTGACTGATTGAAGGTAAGAGAGTGGGGGGTGGGGAACAACACATAACCTACCTAGAGAGCTTGAGTCAATGGATGGTGGAACAGAGTTTAGAGGACATACCGCAAAAGCAAAATTTATTAAGAGCTCCAAAGGACGGGAAATTGTGGAGAGCCACTCTAGCCAACATTCTCAACCACATAGAAGAAGAAGAATGAGGAAATACGGCTTGGAGAATTTGATACTCACAGAACGGGGTCAGTCAGATGAGAACAACGCATAACCTACCGACCGAGCTGGTGTAAAAAAAAAAGATTACGAGCTACAAAGGACAAGAAAATGTGGAGAGCTATGATCGCCTACGTCCTGAAGGATGATCTTGAGTAAATGGATGGAGGAACAGGGTTTAGGAGAAATAACGCAAAACCAACATTTATTAAGAGCTCCAAAGTACAAGAAATAGTGGAGAGCCATAATCGCCGACGTCCTGAACTGACATGGCACATAGAAAAAGAATATGCTTGAGTAAATGGATGGTGGAACAAGATTTAGGAGAGATAACAAAAAAAAAATTATTAAGAGCTGCGAAGAACAGGAAATTGTGGAGGGCCATAATCGCTTACAATCCTGAAGAGAGACGACACATAGAAGAAAGAATATCAATGATCATATCCTATCCAAACATTCTATTAATAAATATCTATTCAAAACATACAAGTGCGTATAGCTGCACCTCCAAAGCTCTAGATGACCAAAGCCTGGTAGCAGATCTCTTATCTAACCGAGCTCTAACAGCTCGGGGGGAGGTGGGGAGGGGGCAAACTGGATTGTAAAATTCAGTGTCGCCAAAATGATGCTAGTAACGTCTCATTATCACAGAGTAGATTCCGAATTTTGAATGTTGAAATGCTAAATGATTTGTACTCTTAAGGAATCTCCTTAAACGTGTGTCAAGACTAAAGTTCAAACCAGACCTCAAGTGGAACTCATATACAATATATCCCTAAAGGCAGTCCAGCATGGCATTCAACTAGGGTCTCGTAAAGCCTGAGATGCCACTGGTACCTCTGCCTATCACCTGGACAAATTCGGTGGTGTGAACAGACGGGCAGTATGGACAACAACTGACCTCCCATAAAATCTGGAGAGTACACCTTGGCGGTGAACCAAAACTCCCTAGGCGCAGATCTATGTTCTCTTGAGAATTCCAGATGCCACACATAATTTATTAGTGAGTATTACGTAACAAAACTCATTGTCGCTTCAGCTCAAAAACACCTTGCTGAGGACAGAAATCGATCTGGTCAATTTAAAGACGGAAGCTGTAGAATGAACCAACAGGAGAAGAGCAGTCCGCGAAAAAAAAAAACATCCTTCGAAAAGCCGAGAAGACAAATTGAAGAGACTAAAAGAGACCAAAGAAGAGCCAGATTTCTCCATACCTTGAACATTCCCTCCGAACTTGCAGTAGGTGAGGACATGACTTCAGATACAATATTGGACTCATTTCACACAGAAGGAAATCTCCATGAACAACCCAATACTTGGGAACGTGTTCCACCAATTACAACCACATTTTAAATACATTTTGGATCTTTCTATTTCGAAAAGACCAGAAGACAAATAGAAGAGACGAAAAGAGACCAAAGAAAAGCCAGAGTTCTCCATACACTGAACATTCCCTCCGAACCTACGAGGACGTGACTTCAGCAACAACATAGGACTCATTTCACACAGAAGAAAATGTAGATGAGCACCCCACCCCCATAAAAAGATGCACGGAATCGAGTTCCGCCATCGACGACATAACAAAACAGCAATGCTGGTTTTATTTCATTCATCGTTGAAGATGCTGAGAAAATAGTTGGCTCCACGTGACCGCTCCAGAAATTAGTTGGCTCCTCCAGTTATACTCTACGCTTAAGATGGAATATCACTCCCATATCTTGGCTGATGCTGCCAAATAATCTTTTTCCAGACTTGACAAAAAGTCAAAAGCGTCAACGCGACCTTGTGGGTGATGAATTATTTTCCATTCTACCACCTCTTTCCCACTGCGGAAACGTCACAAGCCTTTTGCAACTCAATCATTATTTCCATGATGAATGTTCTGACGAGCTACGTTTCTTAGTTCCGCCAGTTCAGGCCTTCACATCTAACAACCTCCATATGATATTGTTATGAACGTCGTGTTTGTTGTCTCATAACTATTAAATGAAATGCCTTGTATGAAGTTTTAATTCACGGTCCGTGGATGAATATGTGTGTGTGTGTGTGTGTGCGTGTGCGTGTGCGTGGCACATGGAGAAACGTGATGCGATAAGAAGGAAATTATTGCTGCTCACGGTTGGCTTGAAATAACCATTTTATTTACACGGAGAATCTTACAACATATATATATATATGTACAGTGTAACCCGGATATAAGAGAGTTGTCGGGACCGGAGACGAAGTCTCTTATATCCGGGTTTCTCTTATATCCGGGTTTGGTCTATTTTGTTTCGGTAAATATGGGCTCTAATTTGGGACCAGAGAAAATCTCTCTTATATCCGGGTCTCTTATATCCGGGTTACACTGTACATACAAAATCACGGTCCAAAGTTACTGAGTTGTGTGTCACAACCATTAGGATAGGGGAATATATATATGTCCTTATTCCTTGATAGCCATGTTCCGTCTGTTGAGTTTTGCGCGTCTCGCATCTCAATGTCGCGTTGATCCCGTGACTAGCGTCGTTTGGACAGGGGCAAAAGGGAGGTACTCTGTTTGAAACAGGAAAGAGTTATTTCCCTTGGAATATATTTTTATTCCCTACGTATTCCATTAGTAAGGAGTAGTTCTATTCGTATAGCTTTTTCTCAAGAACAGTTACCGTGTGGAATAGACTCCCAAGAGGATGCTTCCCTGATCGCTACAATTCTAACATTTTTCAAGTCTAGTTATCTTTTCTACATATCCTCGTAATCCGAATATCTTACCTCCACCTCTTACGTTCATCTAACAACCTTATTCATTATCCGTCTGCCTTGAGTGGCTCGATATAAAAAAAATTTATCTGTCCCAAACGAATCTATTTTGGAACTATGCTTCTGGAAAATGGTAAAAAAAAAAGAAGTCTCCTTGGTTTTTGCCACTGACAGGGAACCAACGCCACATGTATGCCCCCAACCCCGAGGCATAACCAACTGAGTAATTTTATATGTTTGCGTTTACTTCTTTACACGATAAATCAGTATAGGTTCTATATAGATGACCCAGTGTTGATAGCAGACAGTGAAAGAAGATCCTTGTCTTACACACCTTTTTTATTTTTGTATATCTACTGAATTTATTTTCTGTCCGGATTCAATCGGGTTGCTGCCAGTAAAGGTTATATGCTGATGACCCAGTGTTGATAGCAGACACTGAAAGGAAATCCTTGTTTTACATCCCTTTTTATTTTTGTATATCCACTGAATTTATATTCTATCCGTTTGCATTCGGTTTGCTGCCAGTAGAGGCTATATGCAGATGGCACAGTGCTGATAGTTGATATGGAAATGAACTACAAGAGTTCCTACAGATGTTAGTGAGGGGGAGCAAGAAGAAAGGACTAAACATCAATTGCAAGAAAACAGAATGCATGGGATGAGTCGAAAGTGCCAATTGAAAATTGGAGATACCAAAATCAAACAACTGCAGAAATATGAATATCTGAGAAGTGTCTTACCAAAGGAGGGAATATGTGGTACTGAAATCCGAAGCTGTATTTGGATACACATAGATGCCAATTTTTACGAAACAGAAAAAAAATCGCTAAAAACGAGAAAAAAACTGTCCCCCTGTATGGCAGTGATTGTTGGACAATCTTCTCAAAGGTGAAGAAGAAACTAGAAGCAACAGACATGTGGTTCTACAGAAGGCTGCTGAGATTTCCATGGACCGAAAATATGAGCAACAACGAAGTTTTCGAGAAAATAGAAACAAAGTGGAAACTTATACCTAACATCAGGAAGAGGCTGTTGATTTTTTTAGGGCACATAATGAGAATGGAAGTTTTGGAGAATCTGATACTCACAGGACAGATTAATACCAGAGGAGGGACAGAGGCAAACACCGCATGACATATTAATGAACTTGTATAAATGAATGGCAGAACAGGGTTTAGGAAAAATAAAAGAAAGACAATTTACTGAGGTCTACTAAGGAAGAAATTTGTTGAGAGCCATGACCATCTAAATCCTGATGGGACAAGACATATAAAGATAAAAAAAAATTGATAGTTGGGAGCTTAAAATAAAAAATGAAATGCAAACAGTGAACATTTTGACATGTTTGCGCAGGAGATTTTCATCGTGTTGCGCACGTAATCAAAAATCAGTTTGTGGTTTTCCTGAGTTTTTTATAGCCTGGTTTCAGTCCCGGTTGTGTTGGAGGAAAGTTATGTGGAGAGAATAAAAGAGAAGGATTTGGATACGAAAGTTTCCTGTTTGTCAACAGAGGACAATGGAATGTCTGTTCGTTTTGCTTTTAGGGAATCTATATGCATTAAAGAAGAGAGAATGCAGACGATAAAAGAAATAAATAAAGGTGTGGATATAAAAGAAAGAAATGTGTATATAAAAGAAACAAAAATATAGATAGAAAAGAAAGAAAGAAAGAAGACAATAAAAAGAATGAAGGCAATGCAAAGAAAGAAAGAAAGAAAGAAAGAAAGAAAGAAAGAAAGAAGACAATAGATAGAAAAGGAAGGCATTACAAAGGAGAAAAAAATAAGAAAAAATGAAAAAAAAAGGAAGAAAGTAAAAGAAAGAAGAGCGGTATGAAAGAGAAAGAAAGAAAGAAAGAAAGAAAGAAAGAAAGAAAATGTGGGTATAAAATAAGTAAAGAACCGAAAATAATGATCTCAAAGAAAGAAAAACGATGTAAAAAAGATAGAAGACAATAGACAGAAAAAAGAAAGACGGAAAAATAGAAAGAAAGTAAGAAAGAAAGAAATAGAGAAAGAAAGAAAGAAACAAACAAACAAACAAACAAACAAACGAAAAAACAAAAGCGAAGAAAAGAAAGGAAAGAAAGAAAGAAAATTCTTCAAAGTAAAATAGAAAGGCGGATAGATAGAAAGCAAAAAGAAAAGGATAAAAAGGAGAGGTAAATAGAAGAGCAAAGAGGGGGAATAACATAGGATAGAGGAGGGAGGGGCGGGAAAGAAAGAAAGAAAGAAAGAAAGAAAGAAAGAAAGAAAGAAAGAAAGAAAGAAAGAAAGAAAGAAAGAGATCTTATTTCAAAATTTGACCCACGACACGAAATTCGTGACGCATGATTTCAAAGTTCCTACTTTCCTGTTTTTGTTTTTTTTTTCAATTCCAAATGGATCAAATTTCGTCATCAGATGAACCCATATTTATGCAAAGCAAATAAACGCTTTTTTGGACAAAAATAAATAAAATTTCTGTAACCTCCTCCCCAACCCCTAACTTCTTTTGCATCAAAGTACATTCAGTCATTAAACATAGGAAACCTTTGAACCGCAAAATATTTCTTTTTTTTTTTTTTCGTCGTTCTCAATTTAAAATATAATCTTATGCATCCTATTGGAATTGGAATCTTACCAGCCTTTGTGAGTTCGCATGACTGTTACGGCCAGTTAATAGCTCATGAACAATGGATTATTACTTTTTGATTTCATGGAAAGAGAGGAAAGGACACTACTTCGTTTCAGTAAGAAAAAGAAAGCAAGAAAGAAAAAAAAATTGGGATATAGATGTGCTTAAAATTTCCTACTGATAACTTATACTTAATGGACTTTTTCATTGTGATAGTGTCGAGAGAGGGGAAAAGATATTACTGGGTTTCAGTGAGAAAAAGAAAGAAAGAAAGAAAGAAAGAAAGAAAGAAAGAAAGAAAGAAAGAAAGAAAGAAAGAAAGAAAGGGCAATAGATGTGCTTAACGTCTCAAGTCACCACCGCATAAATAATGGACTATTCCATTGTGAAAGCGTCGAGAGAGGGGAAAAGACATCACTGGGTTTTAGTACTGCGCTTAAATTCAAAAAGTCTAGGTACCATAGCGAAGAAAGGCGGGGCGCACAGAGAGGCAACCTTACGGCGGTGGGCAAGTGACTAAGGCCGAGATAAGGACCAATAATATTGCGGATTTTTCAGTGAGAAAAAGAAAGAAAGAAGGAATTATCTTAACATCTTCTGCAAATACCTCATATATAATAGACTATTCCGCTTTGATCTCGTGGAAAAGGGGGGAAAGATATTACTGAGTTTCAGTGTAAGAAAGAAAGAAAGAAAAAATGGAGGATAAAAGTGGAAAAAGAGAGAGAGAGAACTTCTTTGTCCTTGTTTAAAGCTGCCCGACTGATGCGATGCTGCGCAATAACCATTCCTTTTGATGAAAGCTTGTGACCAAGATATACAAACTCCATAACTTGAGTGATTTGCTGGTTGTAGTTTGTGAGTTGCAAATTATATTTTTATCTGTTGTCATGCACTTCGTTTTTAAGATAATGTTTAAGCCAACCTCAAGTGCATGTTTCGCCAGTTCGTTCAGAAAGTTTTGCAAATCAGTCCTAGAGTAACTCAGAATGATCACATCATCTGCATAGCTAAGGTTTGAGAGGATATGGCCTTCTTCAGTTTGGTAAATAAGCGCGGCTATAACGATAAATAAAAGGAAGTGCTGATAGGACGTCTCCCTGCTTAAATCCCTTCAAGATTTCTATAAAATTTGTAGTTCCCAGATCTGTTTTGATATATACTGTTGAGTTGGTGCAAAATTCTTTCCTTGGGGTGATGTACTTGTTAAATGAGGTTTTGTTTAAGAGTGTGTTACCTGGCTTCGTTTAGCGGCATATCAACCTCTATGGGTTATTTAACGCCGAAATCTAAATATTTTGAACACTATTTTATGGCTTCAATTAAATATATTTTGAACACAATTGTATGACTTCAATTTTGGTTGGTTGATTTTGTTTAGCGGCATCTCAACCTCTATGGGTTATTTAATGTCGAAATCTAATTTTTTACGTAATTTTATACTTTCAGGGTAAAGGTAAGTTTTTTAGATGTTTAGTTTGTAGATGATAAAATGTATTGATGGTAATTATTTTAAATGTATTGATGGTAATTTTACAATAAAAATGTTTCTTATACTATTTTAGTGTTTTCTTGATTGTCATTTTTCTATAAAAATGTACTGTAAAAATTTATTTCATTACAAAAATGTATTGCTGGTATTTTTCATCTATGACCATGGATTTGATTCCGTCCATGAAAGATCAAGGTCGGTTCAAGCCTGTGCAGGGTGATATGGAGTATGTTCCCCCACCGCCTCTCCACGTCGCTGATGGATCCAAAGATATAGCAAGGTCATTACTGTTTGGCATCAACACCGTCGTAGTAGCTGCAAGAACGAGACTGAAATCAGCGACGAATTGCCGTAGGGGCTCCAACACTGGGTTTTTAGCTGTATACTATGAGTTATTTATATATAGTTTAAAAATCAGAAGGTCAATTAAAATACGCGACCACAGTTTCGACCTGACGGTCTCTTCGGCCGATACTTTTAAAATGACTACTTTAACGCTTTATTTCAATCTGCCCCTCAGTCGTCTATAACAAAAAAGTTACATATTTGCTTTCACTTTTACTGTATACAGTTACAATACATTTACATTCCTGTCCCTTTCTATTCTTTCCTTCGCCTCCTTTTCCCCTTCCCCTTCCCATTACACCCAATGTCCTGTCTTTCAATCATCATACACCTGTTACTTTTCTTGAAAGAATTATGTAGTGTTCTTTGTCGTTTTTTGAAATAAAGCGTTAAAGTGGTCATTTTAAAAAAAAGTATCGACCGAAGAGACCGTCAGATCGAAACCGTGGTCGAATAATTTAATTGACTTCCTGATTTTTAAACTTAAAAGCTATAGATGTTATTTTGATTTTTACTTACATTTTTCCCATGTGTCCATATATATATATATATAAAAGATTTCAGTTATCTGTTTGGATTGGTATTGCTTTTATGTCCATCGTCTTTTTCATGTTGAATTGTATATGGTCTATGTTAAATATGTTTTATGAATATGTCCTGAAGATGGTTTATTAGACCGAAACATCCGACGTTGACATTAAACATTAAAACAGCATAATCGCATATTAGGATTTTGTTTGTTTTTCAGTATATTTTTCTTCATATATATATATATATATATATATTCTTCTTATATATATATATATATATATATATATATATATATATATATATATATATATATATATATATATATATATATATATGTATATATATATATATATATATGTATATATATATATATATATATATATATATATGTATTTATGTTAATGTGTTTGTGTTAATGTAGTGTGTGTTTCTGTGCTATCTCGTTTAACTAGTAAATGGTACACAATGTTAAAACGTCACAAAACAGCCGTCCCCAGATTTTAATTATGTTTTCCTTCTCCTAGATTAGTTGCCGTCCAAAGCAAGTGACATATTCCCCTCTGCTATTTAAGTCTTAAATGTATATTTATTTACGTCTACCGGCTTCGATAACTTTAGCATGTGTGTGTATATAAAAATTTTAGATGCAGTATATCTATAAAAGGGCAATATTGAATAAAGATAAAAAGAAAACTTTCTCCAAGGGACGAAATGCATCGGCTAAGATAAGTTTTCCGTTTGTCTTTATCCATATATTTAATTAATTCACCCCAAGGAAGGCGATAATGCTACTAAGACACAAGGGACTACTGTGAGTGAAAAAGAATGAGAAGGAAACCAAATCCTAAACTGGAAATGTGCCGTGTTCGTCCTCTCTTTGATATTACCTGACCAGCGCTTGCGTTGGCGTCTCCGTTTGCGTCGGCCTTCAACAGTGACTTTGCATGATGGTCTTGCAGAGGCTGTTGTGACGTGGCCAAACCATAATATCTTCCGACGCTTAATACCGGCAAGAAAAGATTCCTGTTGGATCATGAGACTTTGATATTCTTCCTTAAATAGTCATTGGTTCTGTGCTCCCAGTAGGAGATGTGGATGACCTTTCTCAAGAAAGAACTCCAGCCGCCAAAAAAAAACAAAAAAAAAACGAACGTGCGGATTCAAAGCAAACGTTAAAATTATAAAGCTCTACTCCAGTTCAAAAAACCAGGAAGGAGCGTGAATCGGGCAATTTACATACATACACACACACACACACACACACATATATATATATATATATATATATATATATATATATATATATATATTGTGTATATTTAGGCAGCAATTTTTCATTAATGCATGTTTCATTAAATAATATAGACAAGTCCAACGGATTAAATAATATTTATGTTGGTCACACCACACACTCGCTTTCACGGCACTTGACACTACATTTGAATGAAAACTCTAACATTTTTAGGCATTTAAATCAACATGCCTGCCCGCCTACTCAGTTGCGGGAAATCCTTGTTGAAAACACAACTATACTTAAACATGAGAACAATAAACAAAAATTAAAAATTCTTGAAGCTTTATACATAAAACAGTTGAAAACTAACCTGAACAAAATAAACTATGAAATCTCCACAAATATCCTTAAATGCCTTAAATATACGAGTTTGTCGTTACTTGAAATTTTCATGCAGCAAGGGCGGACTATCATTGTTGTTTCGTCCGTTGTTGTTTGATTTATTGAAATTATCATCTTTGATAATGGCTTATGTAAGCCGAAAGCGTAGATTGGATTTAAACATGTATCAATATGGTGTTTTCCTTTCGTCTTTCAACGATAATGTGATTAAGCTTATCTGACAATATGAAAGAAACTTACTTAAAATAAATAGACAGAACTTTTATATATATATATATATATATATATATATATATATATATATATATATATATATATATATGGTATGATGGATAAATTGTCTAAATTACGCAAAAATGAAAATAACACTGACATCTCATTTTAACAGATGTATTTATATCTGTTAAAATTCCACAAAAATATCTTGATATACTAAAGAATAGATTTATTCAATAGAAATGCCATTGGCCTCACCCACGGCTTCCAGACGACTTCGGAATCTCCTGCAACTCTTCTGAGTAGTCTCCTTGTTTAAGTTGTTGAATGTTGCTATAATCCTTGTCTTACAAGGAGTTTTGTTGGTCTCTCAACTGCGCCCCACACATAATAATCAAGGGGGTTGCAGTCTGGGGAGTTAGTTGGCCAGATGTAACGATGTGGTTGCAGAAATTGTCTGACAGCTATCACTGTGTTCTCATGCTTGTGTGGCATCGTGCAGAGTCCTGTTGCCAGACATAGGGTCTTCCAGCAGCCACCTTCTTGACCCTGGGTAGCATTACCTCTTCAAGGTACTTGATGTTGTTGACCATGTTCACCATAGTCTATGAATATAGAATACAGCGCAGTGCGTAATCTGTTCAATGAAACAAAGTTAAAGATTAACATTCACGAGTCAGACACTCTACTGAATCTGACTATATCGCCAATACCACCAGCAACTGTTCTGTAATTCTTCAGTCTTCGATATCAAAGGCTGCCAGTGAATATTCGGAAAAAAAAACATGGCCGCCTTTTTACACGTCGCATTGAATATTTTGAGCCTTCTGATTGGTTAACCATTCTATTGGTAAACCATAAAATGAGTCAGCTCATTTTGGCTGGCTCACTAGTACACCAGGGTACCTAAAAATTCCAACAGATGAAAGGCTTCCGTGTTGAGTCTGAGGCCCTGTGGGAAGATTAATGATAGCATAACGCCGCTATCAGTAGTGATCACTCTAAACAGCTTCGTAATCACCATTAGACTCATCCAACTCTTTCCGAATCCTCTGCAAACTCCTCAGATTGACACCCAAACACTCACGCACTGGAGCTTCCTGTACAAATTGCAAACAGTATAGCAT